GGACTGGCTTCTGAGAGTAAGTGAGCCCTTTAGGGTGGAGGGTAAGGAATTAGCAGAAAACGGGCCCGGAAAGGTGGACTGGCCTGAAGTGCCGAGCAGAGGGGGGCCATTGGATCCACCAGGCCCTGGAGGGTTCTGCACTGGATCCTCTGCTGAGGACCCGTGTGCATCGCCCTCGGCTGAAGCGGGGCAGCCAGATCCCTGCTCTGATTTTGACTCGATGCACTTCAACACCGAGGTGCAGGGAAGGTCCCCTGCATGGGGCACCCCACAGGTGGAGATAATGCTGAGGTGAAGTCAGACCGGTCTTGAAGGGCCTTGCAGTTTGGTGATAAGGACAAGAGAGGGAAGGGGGCACATTAGACAAGGATGGCTAGAAGCACAATACATCGCATGAGTTGTGCAGGAGGCATCATGCAAGTCTGGGCAAAGTGCTCAGACCTTTCTAACGGGGGCTCTGCCTGACCTTCCGTTCTGTTTGTCAGCGCCAGACTGTCAGCGTCTCAGGATGGGGGCCAGGCCTTCCTTGTCTTTGCACGGCCTGGGTCTAGCTCAATGTGTGGCACTTGGTAGACATTCACTGAATTAAGGATGGGATGGAGGGAGGGATGGAGGGAGGGAGGGAGAGAGGGAGGGAGGAACAACTCTCCCATCATGTATCATTTACTGAGTGTGTCTGTCTTCAGGTTCACCTAGCACTGCCTACCTTTGGTTCATATTGTCCCTCTCTCCTCCCACCCAGATTTTGCTCACCTGTCCTCCCTCCCTGGTGGTACCAGCCCACACTAACTTCCTAGACCCGAATTCTTCCAGTCATCACAGAGTCTGTGCTGCGTAACTTACACCCCCGCATTCCTTGCAGCTGCTTCCTGAGTGCTAGCATGCTAACTCCTTCAAGGCAGAGTCCCCTTCTCAAGTGATCGCAACCCCCACAATACCTAGACTACATTGAGTGCCGATTGGTTGGGAAATGGGCCCATCACAGGAGGAGGGCAGAAACCAAAGGGCACTGTGCTGTGTGTGTGTGTGTGTGTGTGTGTGTGTGTGCTCACAGGGCCTGGAGAGCGTGGCCTAGGGGAGGGGACACTGGGGGGCAGGGCCGTTCTGCCGTCCAAAAGCCTTTGACTCAGAGGCCCCGATCCCATGGCCCTCCTCTGAGGACAGGAGAGGAGAAGGTGTCTGTCCCGCAGCGTGGGGGCTGGATAGAGGATTTGATGGATGTGAAATTAAGCTCTGGAGTGGAAACCGTAAACCATCCTCTTGGAATATCCTTAAAAGGAGGGATCGCTAGCAAACTCAGGCTGCAGGACGCACTGGCCTTCTCCCCGGCCTCGCTGACTTTGTCCGTGACAGATAAGAAAGGAGAGACCGTGGGGGTACCGCGTCTTAGAGGAACTGCTGATGTGCCCTTTTGCTTTATGATCTGAACATCAAGTGAACAAGGTTCAGGGAGATTAGCTGACTGCAGGCCGACCCATGTTCCCGCGCAGAGAAATAAGGAAGACTCATTACCATCCACCTCCTTTTGCCAAGAATTATGTACTCCGTGGGCAGAGAATCACGCCCAAACCTTTTCAGACCTTTCAGTAAAAGGCTGGGACAACTCCCCCTGCCTTTGACTGTGTGCTCCTCACAGTAATTCATGGTTTCGGCAGAAGGGCTGCCTCCCTAACCGGACTGCCTGGGGCTGGTGTCAAGGATCTCTCTGTATCTTCTGAGAGAAGTGCTCCCATTTCTGCAATTAGTCCTGAAACAACCTTGTGAAGTAGGGACTAGGATTAACTCCCATTTTCCCGATGAGGAAACCAATCCTCTGAGAGGGTTAGGGCACAGCCTGTAAGGAGGACTTTTCCCACCACTCTCCGTGGCTTAAATGAACTATGTCGGCCGAAAGGGTCTGAAGGCTCTGTCTTCCCATCACACATCTTAGGCCAGTGGTTCTCAACCTGTGGGTGGCCTAAGACCATCGGAAACCACATATATAATTAGATATTGTTTTTGTGATTAAGCACTATGCTTTAATTATGTTCAATTTGAAATCGGGGGTCACCACAACATGAGGAACTGTATTAAAGGGTCGCGGCATTAGGAAGGTTGAGAACCACTGTCTTAGGCCATGTTGTGTTGCTACATGCAAGATAATATTTCAGTGGCAGAAACACTCAGCCCAAGCTTAGTGTAGGGCGGATAAATGCGTCGGTGCAGGGCACAGTGGATGCTCTGTGTGCAGTCAGTGGACGAGGAACAGCTGGAGCGCAGAGAGAACCTTTCAGGCCGCTCACGGAGAGCCCACCTACCGGGTGTGTCTAGCATTGGGACCCAGGACTGCCCAGCCCTCTTGGGGCTTACAGTCCGTTGCAGGAGACAGACGTTAAACAACTAATACTGCAGTAAGCGAATCACAATTTCGTCACATGCAACTAACCGTAGCAGGGAGCTTTGCTCTGGGGGAAGGCCGGCCTCTTCCGAAAGGGGATGCGTTCAGGTGGGCAGAAGTCCAGGCCAACGAAAAGAGCAGAAGGAGGAGGGAAATTGCTTCCCACAAACGGAACTTGACCTGAGGGCCCCCGCCCCGCAGTCCCATTGCTGCTTGGGGAAAGCAGGACAGAGAAAGCCGGAGAAGCGAGAGAACACTTTCTGTAGGCAGGCGGGTGGCAGGGCGGCGGAGGAGGAGAGCAGGCTGGCCACCGGCCCGGGACTGAAAGGGTTAAGGGGGGCGGTCCCGAACGGAGCCTGGAGCCCCGCCCACCGGAGGACAGGGGCGGGGCCTCGAGGAGTGAGCCCTCGGATTGGTCGAGAGGCAGGCTTACGCTAGGACGGTACCAACGGTCGGGGAG